CAGTGCAGTATGGCCTTCATGCTGCAGCCACACCAATCTCTTTCTAGTGCTACCTGATCACCTTGTACTGTTCGCAACAGCCATTTTGCCTGCGGACACAAACCTGACTAGTTTAAATGTAACTGCTCAAATTTTACGTTTGCCCATACTCAAAGACTTAAAAAATGGAAAAATAAGATTGTCTAGCCGAGACTTGTCTAAAAAAGTACAATGCAAGCATGGCTGAAACAATTAAAAAATGAAGGTAATACATGTATTTTCACCTCTGGACAATCACAGATTTGAAACACTCAGTTACAGTGCTAACATGTATACTGACCTGTAAGGGCTCTCAAGCGAACTGCACATGACACAAAGTCATCAAAAGTGATACGGCCTCCCTTTTCATAGCGTTTCAGAAGTACACCCACAGCTGAAGGAGTAAGGTTGTACCCTACAAGTGGCAAATACGGAAGCAACAAGGGCTACTAAGTCACATATATGTATGTAATACTGTTTCTTGGCAACAGTGGCATAACTCTGGGACTGGGTAAGTGTTACAATCCCACCAATGGCTGCTTTACTTGCAAATAATAAACTTATTGACTGAGGATTTACGATCAAAAGATCAAAACATCTGCGGAACAAGTCGTCCTAGAAATAGTGCATATTAAAAGATATGTGACCCAGACCCAAATACTTCAAAATATACATTGTGTCTAAGGGAACAATAGAGCTGTCAATCACTCCTGGGGAGATTTCTTTTTCTGCAGAGCTGGGTGGATTTATTCTAGAATTTTTTTATCATCTGGACTTCCCGAGCTACTTGAAAATAATCATTTCTTCCCACATATATTTTTTGGGGTATTGGCGTTTAAGTCAGATAAAATCATGAAATGAAGCATTAAAACAGCTGAATATTTTTGTTCGATGTTTAGACAAATAAAACCTTGGGCACCCAATCCATCATCTTACATTGTAAATGTGAGGAACGTCTACTTTTTCTGCCTGCTCAAAAACTAAATAGGGTCTGTTTACACTTTTGTCTGTCCTAAAAAAACGATAAAGCGGGAACTAATGGAATTCAATATGATGCACATACTGGCAGAATACACCAGAAAAAAATTCCAGAAAGCAAATTTTAATCTTTTTTATTCGGGTGAGATTTGGGTACGCAAAAAGCACACTTGCAGCATGGCGACAGGGACACATCTCACTTGGTGCTGTAAAGGGTTGTGATTGGACAGTCACCATGTGAGCGGGGCATCTGTGCTGAAGTCGAGCAGGCGGCGGCACTAAGGCTATAGCCGTGGCACACACAAACTTTCCTCCATCCAGTGTGGTCATATCACAAAGACAGAGAATCAGCAATTCATTCAGCGGTAATGACGAATGTATTTGAAATATAAAGAGGAGTTTCGAGTTTGTAGACTTTGAGTTATCAAAAGTTCCTTTGACTTGACCAGGTGCTGAAGTGTTTCAAAATGTAAAGACACTTTTGCAGCATCGTTTGAAAAGAAAAATTAACCCAGATTGCGTCAATTAAACTTTGTGCAACCTCCAAAGGTTAGTTCCGTTTAAACGTTTAGGAAAATCTCTAAACAGATAAATAACTATGTTCGTTGAAACGGTTAAACGTCCGACCCTTAGTTTTCATGTTTATGATGTTACTAAGGTAACTTTTTACCTAGAACAGTTAATTAATTAAGGCAACCCTGATCTAAACTCTTTTAGACACTTACACTGTACACTTAGACACAAGGAATACAATAGGAAGAAAAAATACGAAGGAATACAGTGGCAGAAGTTACAAAAACCTGATTTTGTCTGTGAATTAAAGTGACTGAAATTCAAGGACTTTCTGATACAAATTTACATTTCTCTTTACATTTCGACTACATATTACAACTATCAACTGACTAAATTCACCACAAATATCTTCATAATTTTCTGATCTTGTGAACATTGCAAGATATTCGTATGTGTGTATCAGAATGTTTTAATTTACAGGGACTTTTGATGGGATAAATATATGACAAAGGATACATACCAAAACTTCTAATTGCATTTGCCAGTTCATGACCATCAATGGTACCTGAGCGATCAGAGTCAAAAGCAATGAATGTCTGCTTCCATTGGTTGATGACAGTCCACAGTTCCTTGAATTCACTGAAGCCCATCTTACCAGAATAGTCACGCTATATGGATAATCCAACTCATTAAGGAAAACATGGAAATAAACACTGGACAAATACCGTAAACAGCAAAAGTATGTGGAATACAATGGTGCCTCTTTATCTCAACATATTTAATTCCAAGTATATTTTGAAAACAAAAATTTACATTCAGTTGGGAAAAAAAATTACCTTGGATTAATTTCAGTGCAGAACACAGCCTGATACTGACTGGAAGTTTGTAAGCCCCCCCCCAAAATGAGCATTCATGAAAATCCAGTCTATATGTATGCATTAAATCCTGAATTGCTGAATCCCCCTCCCAATGTAATGTTAGTATTTCTGCAAAGCTGCTGCTTCGGAACTGCTTTCATGTGATCTTAATCAAATACATGTAATATTTATCATGGTTTTGATGTACAGTGTACATGTACATGTAAATGCATGCACATGAAAATGGGCATAGGTTCCACCAAAGTTCAAGTGTACATTATATTTCGAAAAGCAGAACGTTTGAGAAAATCTCATTGGACAATTGGGTGAGTGTCCATTCAAAACCAGTTATGGTTTTATGATTACATGCCCACAACAGCCTGAAACTCATGCAAAAATGTTGCATTTTTTTCAATTTAATGAGTCTGAGTTTTTCTAAAGAACACAATGCCAAACCAAAGCAGGGTGTACACAAAGCAGAAACATCAGTGGTCAGTATGTCATGAGACAATAATTGCTGCCAATCTGGTGAACACCTACTTTTGCCTAGAAAAAGTGCATATTAAACAGTCCACACTAATGTAACCAAACAAATGATGCGTCAGTTTACAGCACTCGAGAAATGACACAATTGGGATGTTTGTCGGGAAATGGATGCTGCTGACCACTTGCTGACCTTTGCCATAAACCAGAAAAACATGCACATGAAACCTGGCAGTGACCAATAATAGATCAAACTTGGCAAAAAACAAAAAAGTAAGGACACAAAACTACATGTATTGTGTCTGTTGTCCAGAAAATGGCCACTATAGACTGGTCGTCTATCTGCTGGTTCATCTCATTGACAGAGTTTCTCAAACTGCCAATTTTCTTTGTGGTGGCAGGGTTTTGTACAACCTGAGTCATTGTCAAAGTATCAACAAACTCTCTATGCTGTATAAGATACATGTACGGTCCAATCCGTCCCATCCATTATACAGTTCCATGCCAGATGTGCATGTGCCAATTAGTTCTCAACTACTGTGCATCTGCACAGTCTACAGCTGATGAGACACTGCACTAGCTACATGTAGTACCAACGCTGCAAGAGTGTCCAGGCCCGTAGGCTGGGGGGTGGTTTAAACAAACCAATCCCCCCTCACTTCTGAGTTCTGCTCGTTGTTGGTGGCTTTTTTAATATATATTTCTAATACACCGTAATTTTTGGAATATACATGCAAGCCGCGGCTTACATGTATACGTTGATTCTCGTACTGAAAATGTCCCAGCAGCTTATACATGTACTCCAGGTGGCTTATACTCAGTGTAGCCTAGCCCGGGCCGTCGCTGCTGCCAGCCATGTGTGCAAGTGGGGCAGTGTTCCAGGTGCGGGGATAAAGCAGTCATGTTTTCATTGGTTGGCATTTACATTGGCTCTACTCATGTGTTGGAAATGAAGGAGACCAGTGTAGCGAGATTGTATAGACTAGTAAATGCACCGTAAGTACCGTTCACACCTCACAAGTCGTATGGTGTGTCTGTTCGTTTTTAGTTTTTATCTTTTACGGTTGTGTAATCCATGTTGTTTATTATGTAACTGGTCTTGTGGTAACTGTTAAAAAACATGCTGCATGGCCTACCCAGCAAGGACACTAATCCAGCTCACCAAGTCGATCCGACAGGGGAGAGTGAGACTGTGAACAGATGCGAGTGTTGCATGGAAAGTCCATGTGGCAGAACGGCTGGGGGATATAGGCGGTCTTCACAGCGATGTGGAGAAGTGGTCTCACAATCTGGAGGGACAACCATGTCAGGAACCCGTGCAAAGTGTCACAAATTCCCTGGATTGGCTGTATAAAGGCAGGGATAGTTCATGGGCAACATCGTTGAAAATTCAGGATGCTTGTACCTGAACTGGCGAGGGTCCTGTGGAAAATAAGACCAGGCCCTAGGATGAGAACAAGGTTGAAACTGCTGCGTCTAGCCTGCAACAAATGGCTGGGAATGTGACCATGTAGCTGACATTTTGTGGCTTAAATGTGATGATGATGGAGGTGGTGGTGGTGGTACCCCGGGCCTCTGTGACCAGGCAGGGCTGGCCAAATGTTCGGTTGACTACAGTGCTTCAAGTGCCATGAATATAGATGTCAGATTCTGCTGCTTCCATGTGCTCATGCAGTCTACCAAAGGTGTGCGGGATTTGTCAGGGAGCAGGTCTGCTTGTGACTGGTCATAGGCTCAGCCCCGGGGATTTCCAACTGTTAAACCTGGCAGATTAGACTTGGTGGATATGGTGGAAATATCATGCTTGGAGGGCCGATCAGACTTGGAGGGACCGGGAAATTTGCCCGGAACATGGCTTAAACTTACAGTTCTCTGTCATGTTTTGGTGCCATTCTTAACCTACATGTAGAACACAGCAAGATTGCGTATGCACGTATAGCACTATGTACTCTGAATTCACACAATATATATGTAGACTACACGTGTCGCTGAAAATACCATAAACATGCAGTGGGTACAGAGGGTGTGGATTGGGCGACTTTTTCAGTGAGATTTGTCGCACATGCGCGCTGATATGCAACTGTACATTGTAGGTAAACAGAGGTGAGTTGTTTTCTGTAATGAAATTTGTAGTCATAGGTGAATTTCCCACTTGTGAATAAAGGTGTGAAAAAATTTCCCACTTGTGAATTTCTTTTTCACAGAGGGGAAAAACTTGTGAAAAGTTTCCCCTTTTGAGGTTACAAGTAACTTTCAATTGCAACGTACTGCATGTGCATGTAAAAAGCTTCCCTTCTTTCAAACACTTTACATTCTGTACAGGCAAGGAAATACAGGTTAAACAAAGGTGGACTGAATATACATTTATAAGACTATATGTAAGTTCCTCCCAGATATTTCATGAACTTTAAATTTCTAGGCTTTGACAAATGAAACTAAAGTATACAAAGTGTACTAATACATGTACATGTATGTATGCTTAAAGGCCCAGCTCATAAAAGGATACATCCAGCATGGCAATCATCACCCGGCAGGTCTCCAAGCTAAACTCTGTAAATTCAGAACATGTATGGCACAACATAAGTGGCATTAAAAACTTCGTTCGCTGAAAATCAGATATAATGAAATAATTGAATCTTTTGAGCAGTTGCACATTGGTATTTATGCAAAACTTACATGAATGTTTGCAAAACGATCGGAACCAAAGCCTGTCTTATTTTGCTAATACCTGTGTTTAGACAAACTGATATACTGTACATTAACATGTATGTATATGAATCAAAACTTAAGCTGATTTGCAAGTGCTAAGACAACAGTGCCAGTATGTGGTTTCTCAATTTCATTTCATCTATATGTACACTGTACATGTATGTATGCACAGTACATGTATATGATGTATATGTACGTGTACCTCCTAGCAAAGTGATGACTTGACTATAACAGGAATGCAAAAAGACTTGATTTTTAGATTCCCAAGCTGGTGAAACAAGTCTGTTGCATAGAAAGCATGTATGCACGGATCTGAATTTGGATCAGGTCAAAGTTAAATGTGAATAGATGTGAAGTGTCAGTGAAATTGATGACGTACGTTGATATGTTCCTGCTATGCCAGATGACGTAAGGCACTGCTGTAATTCAACTGGCTCAATCTGGCCATCCTGTGATGAAATGATTGCAAGAAAGTGATTATTACATGAGTAATGCAAATTAAGACAATTTTGAAACTCTTTCTTCATATAAAAATCAACCTAAAAATTATACATACAACTACCGGTATGTGAAACATGCAAGTTTTGACAAGTACACGTCAATTTACATGTACAGTACATGTGTTCTCTCTCTTTCCTATTTGATAGTTCAACCAGTGTTGTAGTCAAGACCATCACAAGACCTCAAGACTGAATTTAAGTCACAAGCTACAAATGTACATGTACTGTACATACATGTACATTTGTAATTGATTACACCATGACTAAATTCCAGGGCATAAAATCATCTGCCATAGCAAAATGTTTTACAACACTTCTTTTACCTGAAAGAGGTACATGTACATTACCTGAACTGTTCCAGTCTTCTAGATGTCCAGAATTACCCAAATATTAGGTTTGAATAAATGAGTACCGGTAAATACACGTACATGTACATGTATGTCCTTTGGCGATGTATTTGCAGAAAATATATCACAGCTCCATGCTTCTGTCAGAAATATCCCGAACTTTTCGTGCAAGGACTAACCGTACTTACACACACGAACATGAAAAATGCAAAGTAACTGCTCGTCTGGTTTCCAGACGAAAAGATAAACATTATCTTGAGTGATCTTTGATACAGCAGGAAACCAGCCTAAGTTGCAAATCTTCACACGTACTTGCAACCGAAACATGACCTGTTATTTATTTTTTGTGAGCATGCAACCCAAGGAAATAGAAGTATTTAAATCAATAATTGCAACTTAGCATTTAGGTAATTCGGGACATAAGGAACACACGAACACTACCGGTATTTCAGCTACTTCTGTCAGGTGAAAGTGTGAAAATGTGTTTTAAAAAAAATTGGCTACAGCAGGGTGAGCTGATACCCTGGACATTAGACACAATGTAATAAAGATCTCATCCATCCAGGCTATCAACAGCCCAACAACACCGGTACGTGTATCATCCATGCCATATCACTGAAAGCACACGAAGGAGGGTTGATCAGCTCAGTTCCAATAAAACATTCAACCAGCAAAAACAGTGTACTCACCACTCCTGCAACTGCTTGAAACCACCCATACAAAGGATCCTGCCATACAGCGGGGGCAATTCAAAACAAAGAATAAAAAGAACATTAACTTGGTACTGTAGTAACAAAATGGTAATCAGAGTAAGACTTCCAACAGTTAACAAAGAACTTGAGAGATCCTGACAGAATAAGAACTTGCTCCCAGCTCTTACATGGGTATTATACACTGTAGTCTTCTAATTTGGTGCAAAATGTGAAAAATGTCTCAACTTCTTGTTTATCAAAAGGCTTTTTTCTTTTTTCCGAAACATTTTGAAGGCAGTCCTCTTTTATCTTGCAGATAAACTCAGCAAACTGTGGCAAATCAAATTTTATTCACAACTTTTAAAATGGTCATTGAACGCATAACTATAAAACAGAAATGTTTAAAATTCATTATAATTTCTTTTTTTTCTGTACAGCTTGGGCTTGAACACAAGAAGTGACACCATCAGAATGCTTGAGGAAAAACTTAAAATACACCATGTTAGAAGATGTACAATGTTAGGAATCTTCAGCAATTCTCCAGAAAGATATAAACTTGACTGGATTTATTTTGTTTAAATGGCTTTGTTCCAGGTGTTCTGGAAAATGGCTTGACTCCAGAGTACTGGTACTAATCAACTTGGGAAAAAATGTAGCCCTTTTCACACATTTCACGGGGAAGCAGCAATGAATTTTCATTGACTTTCAATGAATTAGAACTGTTAAACACTAGTGCTGTAGCCAAACTACTGAACCAAACACAACACTTTTGAACCCTATATCTAGAGAACTATACACCCAATCAGGTTGAAACTTGGCACAGAGAGAAACTATGATGCAATGAAAATATATGAAAATTGGAGTTACGCCATGATTACATGTACGCCATCACCTTTTTGAACGAATTTTTAAATTTTCCTTATGTTCACATTCTTTACAATGTACATGTATCTCCTGAACAAAGAAAAATTCTTTCACATGTCCTTGGGTAGGTGCAGTATGATAACATCATCAAAAAGACCGTTTTCGAATTTCTATACAAAGAAAGATTTTGTCGACATGAAATTCATAGGGTAGGCAAAACTTTCACCCACGGATGGTCCTAGAAGAACTTTGTCATTGTGACATCATCAGGTGTCCAGTTACATGTACATCATATTGTAGGTGCTTTTTCCCCATTTTGTGCATGTTTTGTACATTTTTCAACAAGACTTAAATGTACGCACTTTCATTTATCTGATTGACCTCAGACTTAATTGGTGAATATTTAGGCCATCATCCAGAGATTGCTTGAGCAGAAATTTATCACTGTAACTTTGTCAGGTGTCACAAGACAACACGCATATTTTTTAAAGGTCTACTGTATACGTGTAACTGCAGAAATACAGGCCCAATAAGTTTGAGCTTAGCATGCACCTAATGAGGATGTGTTAAAATTGAAACTTGAAGTCACACTATTATGACAGCATCACATGCCAGGCGATGCCATGTAAAGGTGCATTTTAATTTAAGTCTTAAATCTAAACAAGAAGAGGTTCAATAGCACGAATGAGGTTCAAACTTGATATCCACGTAAAAATTGAAATCATGTTAAAATAAAATCATCACATTTCAGGTGCATATATCTTAGTATATCTACAGAACTTGAGGACCAATTCACATGTAACTTTGTGTTATACATGTACATGAAATATAACACTAAGAGACATCACAAAGTCACTTTAACAACAGTCAAAACAGCTTGTGTTTGTCCAACACATTTCTCGTTTGATCTTTAATTCTGTAAAGTAAGGAACTCCCAATGGAATGTGCTGGCTTTCCTCTATCTCCACATACATGTATCCTACGATCATTTTGTTGAGTTATAAGCGCCGTCAAAACACATCCACTTTGGGCTGGCGAAAAGAGACTTGAAATGTCACATGCCCGACTGTAACTGTCCTTAGAATTTCAATACAAACTTTGGGAAAACAGTTTAAAAGAAACATCAATGTTTGTTGAAATTGAGTATACAGGTACCGGTACACACTGTGCCTGGTACATGTACATGTATGTACACTGGTACATATACATATACATGTACATCTGAACCCAAACCGAACTGATATTCAACTGAAGGTTTTGAAAATATCTAAAACGGCCCTTTTTAAAAACATTTCAATCTGCTTCCCTGGACATGCTGGATATTCAAGGATAGTTGTTGTGATGTCATTCTGGGAAGACATGGATTAGATACATAGTTCCTCCAGTTCAAATTGTGAACCTGGAATTTAGTCACTGAAAACACTGAAAGGGCTGCTCATTGGCTGTCATGTACTCATCAGTATGTGCATGTATCTTTGAGTGTCTTACTGGAGTAATAAGTTTACCTTAAATTTCACAAATGGTGTCATTTAATCAAACTTCCTACATTCTGATTCATAAATCTCAATTTTGCATACCTGCAACAAAGTTCTGACGAAATTTTGTTTTGGCCCGATTTTCTTATTTTTTTTTCCAGATGTGCAAAATGAACTCTTTTAAAATGCGTGCAAAAATATGAAAATAATTTTCTAACATACTTGTAGTTGGGTATGTGAACGGAGGTATAGGATGGGGGTAATAATAATTTACTAGACTTTATCAGATATTAAAGAATTTCTTAAATGTTTAAATTTTTACATTTTTTTAGCTGAATTATTTCCCAGTTTCTGGCTGCTGCTGTTTTGGAATTAATTTCAGATGAAATTTCTTGATAGGGTTTGTTAAAGGATCAACAGCCTGTATCATGAAGGTAATAGTACATGTACCAGTAGTTAATGGAGTCTGGCAAAACTGTGAGGAAAGTTAAGTGAATGTCAAAGTGCACCATGTTAGGGGGACTGTACTACATGTACAGTCCCTAACTGCCTAAATGTAAATAGTATTTCTCATTTTTAAACCTCTTCAGAATGGCTTGAGGGTTTTTGCAGCAGGATATGTTTTTAAAGTCCCAAATTTATGTCAGAGAGAATTTGAAAGAAAAACTTCAACAGTTTTTGTTTATGTTACCGGTAATTTCATTCTAATATCAAACAACACAATAGACCTTAAGTAATGACAAATGACATATATGTATTCTGATTCCCACACTCTCCTTTGTTAAGTTGAAAAATGTTAACAGGTCGGACAGAATCAATAAAAGTGAGCATCCTCTGAATTTCAGAAACAAAATTAAATGTTATCAAAACTTGAGAGATATATTTATATTATGTCTCGACGGCTGTTCCATGTCAAGACATATCTAAACTGCTGCCCAATTTTGCAAGAGCCCATTGGTCTTATCGCTCAGTCCATGTATTAAATATGTCTTGACATGGAACATCTTCGAGAAGATTAGGGGTCAAGTGACGTAATGTTCAACAACCTTATTTTAAAGATGTCGACTGTGAGAGCGAGCCCGTGAAATTGAATGGGTGAAGGCAAAAAGACTGGAAAATACCACAACAACATGAGTGAAATCATTCAATAAATGGTGCTAAGAAAGCAGAGACGCTAAGGATCATGTCGGTGTGCAAAAGAAATTGCACCCACAATGATAAAGGGGTGCGCCGAAAAGTTTCAGTACGCCGACACTCGGGGAAAAAAAACGACTCCCAAAACTACTAGTTTGTTCCGTGTGGTCTTGAATTTTAGCCTTTAGTTTACTCAAGGCAATGGTTTCTCAGCTTGACTGGTGTCCATCCAATAAGTGAGACAGCTGGAGACTGCTGAAGGAACCAGTCTACATTCCACCAGCATCCCTGCCCAGTCAAATGCTAAACCATCCACTCCCTATAAAAAGTACACGGTTGGAAGCACAAAAATTGCACACGTATTTGAGGATTGCGTTCAACACTTTTGTGTAGATTAATAAAAACTGCGCAAATAAAATTGCCTAGGGCCTAAGTTGCATGAATTTAGAAATATGTGCATTTTCAAAGATTGCACTGAACTTGCATGTTATTAAGGACCCTGTTGAACATCCTGGCTGGCATGTGCACATACACGTAGCTGCAGGCCTACACACGATTGTATGTATGTGTAGGTACATGTATGAGTGATTTTGCACAATGGTAGGAAGGCATTGTGGGAGGGCTGGAAGGAGAAAGGAAGGAGCAAACATTGCCTAGGCCTAACCCTATGACAACAGTGACACGACTAATTTTAATAATGAAGAAATGGGCCCTGTGTTTTATTACCCCCAGAACTTAACTGTGGGGTCGGACGTCCGCCCGACCCGCTTCCATGTACGAGGAGCGCGGCCGGGGCGGACGTCGGACCCACACTGTCAGTACTAGTACCATGGAGCATGGAGGTAGAATGGCCCTAGGCAAAGGGGTAGTGTTTTATAGCTCCATCGTAGGACTGAGTCAGACCATTATCACCATTTTCAGGCACAAACGTTAGTTATAACTGATTTCACATTCAAACCTGCTGAGGAGGAGCAACGGGGCCAGCACCGTAACCAGGATAAGCCATCTTTAACTTCAGTGCTGGATCGACTTGGACATGTGTACGTGTACGATGTACCAAACGTAACGCATCCTAGCTAGCCGCGCCTATATTCTAATAG